ATCTGAATTCTACAATGCAAATTGAACTATATTCAATGAAAAAACCGCGATTAAATTCCATTCAAGTTGAATTAAACCAGGGACTATATTTTGTGGCGGAAGGTTTTTTAGACGAAAATCATCAGTTTTTCCCTTTTGAACTATAACAGTATTCTTTATTTTAGATTCCTATTTTTCCATTCTGGTTGCACACAAAGCTGTTTTTTGCATTAAAATGTGTCATGCTGGTTCTGAAATATCTATTAAATTATTTCTTATGAATTCTATCAACAAAGTGCGACAAATATAGTAAATATATTCTGAAAACCCGGGAAAAAATTAGGCCAAATTTAACGTAAAATTTACACTTTTTTAGTTATATCTGAAAATTAACATCATATACCCCCACTTTTGATGTTCTTTTCTAAATATTCAAGATAACTTTGACCTATTTGCTTAAATTCAGAAAAAGTTTAAGACTTTAAAATAATTTTCTTGCTTATTAAATTTTCAATGCCATAAAAATCACATTTTATTAGTGCAGAAAGGTCAAATAATTGATTATGCGAATTAATTTGAAACTTTTTCTTAGTTACAATTTTAAAGTGTCTTTTTTTAAATAGACTTGCAGTTCATTTTGTTTCTTGCTTTAATTGGATAAAATCATTGCAGGGAAAACGACGAAGGTGTAATTTTTAATTAAGACACAAATTTCAGTGCAAGAAGGTCATATTAAATGTATTGTAGCGCCAAAAGAAGCATATTGACCCCCATTTTTTTATTTGAATTTTAATTAAGCTATGTAAGTAGAAACTTAAAATATACTTGGCAAAAAAAGTTTAAGACTTTAAATATCAGGATCGAACGTCGTTAATTGACAGCTTAAACATATAGTGATATACTTGTAAATTTAATCGTATGTTTACTCTTTACTGAGAAAAGTAACAAATGTATTAAGTACCAAATATTACAATTTTAGTGCTACTGGAGATTCTAAAAAGACATTAAGAACACAATCAAAGAATAGCTAAGGTATGCCAAGGACAGGGATGGGGGAGGAAGAAACGGACAGAGAAGAAAAGAAGGGCGAGGAGGAGAGAGAGAGGAGAGAGAAGTGAAGACTTAAGAGAGGAATCAGATGGAAAGTGGCAGGGCCTAGCATTTTTCTGTTATATACTGTGACAAACCTGTAGTTCTACCCTTTTCTGTGTCTGTTTGTCGGTTACAAATGCAGATGCCAGAAACATTTTTTTTGTGTAAGTAAACAAAATGACGGGATTCATTTATGTATTATTTTAAGAACAGGGGGGCTTTGTTTATTTGTTGGACCTGCTTATTGATGCCTGCAATTTACTGAACTTGTGCATAAATTTACATCAGAGAGGGAGTATACAGTCATGTACGCTTGAAGTGAGCATCAACTTTTATTTCTTTATTAATGTTTTCTTCATGCACTGAGCAATAAAATACTAGTATGTTATAATTTAATTTTACATTTTGATTTCTTTTTCCTCAGTTTTTTAATTAATGCTATGAGATATATATTGAGAATATGTATTAAACTATTAATCTAGCATATATAGATAGTATTAAAGGGCTTTTACCATTAAACTGTACTACAAAACTAGTATAACCTTAATATATGTATTTGTTTGTAAATTTTGAGGACAAATGGCCAACCAGTGAAGAGCAAATGAGTTGTCATGATGGAGAACCAATAAGATACAAACCAACGTTGGCCCAAAAATGATGTTTGCCTAATATTGAAAGAATAAGTGGCCCAACAATGGCTCAATAATATCCGTTCGTTGGTCCAGCAATAAGCCAACAAGTTGGTCTGATTAAGGGCCGATGAGCAAATTACCGTTGGCCAACATTAATTGCTTACAATGGCCCAATTCTACAAAAATGACGTTTGCCCAACATTTAAAAAATACATTGGCCCGACAGTGGCCCAATATTAACTGTCACATTGGCCCAACAATAAGCCAACAAGTTGGTTTGATTAAGGGCCGATGAGCAAATTACCGTTGGCCCAACATTAACTACTTACAATGACCCAATTGTACAAAAATGACGTTTGCCCAATATTTGAAAAATACATTGGCCCAACAGTGGCCCAATATTAACTGTTACATTGGCCCAACAATAAGCCAACAAGTTGGTTTGATTAAGGGCCGATGAGCAAATTACCGATGGCCCAATGTTGAATACAAACGGTGGCCCAACATAAGGAGCATTGTTGGCCCAACAAAGGTCCAATAACATCCTGCTATCTGGGAATATTTATTGTAAAATTTGGGGTATAACAGAGTGATTGATTACAGATCCCTGAAAAGATACAGAAGAAGAAAAAAAAGTAAATTGATGTATTTTTGATTCTGAATAAAAATTGCCTTGTTCTAATCTGTCTTGTGTGTGTTCTTGTTTTCAGAAAATCCAGGTTGTTATTGTTTTCAGAAAATCCAGTTCAAACCGGTTAGGCTGTCTAGACTAGGCTTTAGACTGTGAATGAATGCGTGACGTCATAATCACATTCTTGAGTCGCTGCCAAAAAATCGTAGTAGCAGCGTTTGTGAATCGTAGTAGCCACGTATAGTAGAGTGTAAACACCGTATTTAGAGCTATGTACTGACCCACCTAGCCCCCCAAGGACTGTACTGAGTTGACCCCCTATCCCCCCCCCCCCCACCCTAAGACCTGTACTGAGTTGAACCCCCCTATCCTCCCAGACCCCTAATCTGCACTCCCTTGACCCCCCTATCCCCCAGGGGGCTGCACTCCGTTGACCCCCCTATCCCCCCGACCAATCAGAATCCTCCATTTTTGACCTCATTTGCATAAAAAGTGCACTCAGTTGAACCGTCTATCTAGACGCCTTATACTACTACCCTTATTTGGCTATATTGCAACAAAAAGTGTTGGGGGGGGGGGCAATGAACTTCAATGAACTTTTTCAGCAGCAGGAAAATTATGTTTGAGAAAATAATGTGGACGCCTCCACCCCCGCCCTGCAACGTGCCTGATAAGCAGATAATACTCATTTTCTTTTGTCAGTTTGATGTACAAGTCAACTTCACGAGGCGGTCATATGTTTCCGTAATACAGAAAGGTCAAAAATAGCAAACAATTGAAAATAATCTTACTAAAGAAAGTCGTAATAACGAGATAAAAAATCGTTATAACGACTTAAGAAAGTCGTTTTTACGAGATAAAATTCGTTATTACGACTTAAGAAAGACGTAATAACGAGATAAAAAGTCGTAAAAATGAGATAAAAAGTCGTTATTATGACTTAAGAAAGTCGTAATAACGAGATAAAAAGTCGTAATAACGAGATAAAAAATCGTTATTACGAGATAAAAAGTCGTTATTACGAGATAAATAGTCGTTATTACGACTTTAAAAAGTCGTAATAACGAGATAAAAAGTCGTAATTACAAGATAAAAAGTCGTTATTACGACTTAATAAAGTCGTAATTACGAGATAAAAAGTCGTAATAACGAGATAAAAAGTCGTTATTACGACTTTAGAAAGTCGTAAAAACGAGATAAAAAGTCGTTATTACGACTTTAGAAAGTCGTAATAACGAGCTCGAGATAAAAAGTCGTTTTTACGAGATAAAAAGTCGTTATTACGACTTAATTTTTTTTCTTCATTTTCTAATTTGACCCTTGTAGGCTTTCGTAAATATTGAAATATTCTTTATGTAAAATCTCTACAATTTACAAAAATCTTACAAAAATAGAAAATATTTGCCGATGAAAAAGCTTTCACACACTAAAAAGAACAAAAACGATCATTTTCTCGTACTTAAACAAAATTTTTCAATATGAGTGGGTCTTCACTTCATTTTTTTGAAAGATAATCCTAAAAGTTTGCAATAAAATACACATTTTTTGGTTTACAAAAACAGGGAGCGATCTTAAAAGTACACTTTTATGACACAACATTCGCATCTATCTGAGATATACTTCAAGTCCATTAAGTCGCGGGTTATATCACAAACATGATTTAAATGCCCAAAATCAGCATGAGTGATGTAGGATAGTGGTTAACGCGTTAGTCTACAAGGCAGTAGGTTATTGAAATGTCAGATTTTTATTGCTAGGGTTCGAATACCATCTATTAATTTTATGAAAGAAAATTTTTTTACGAGATTTTTTTTTCTCTCATTATTTTTTTTTCTCATAATTTCAAAAATTTCAATAATTAGAAATTAATTGAAATACTCAATTCACATATTAAATATGATTTCTTAATATCGGGCGCTAAAGGCATTCTGCCCGCCTTGTTCCCCCATCTTCTTTGAGAGCTCACCAGGATCTAAATTGTTACATTTTTTAAACACTTCTATTAAACATTATAATGGACGCGTCAAATATCAAATGGAAGTCAAGCTAAGTTTAAACCATATTTTATTAAAATAAAAAATACAAGCTTACAGTGCAGGCTTTAAATAAAAATCAAACATGAATCGGGGAAAAAAATCGGAAACATGTTTTTCCATCTCCCTTTCATTTGTTGAAGTAACAAGTACAAAATAACGCGGTTAATTAAAACGATTTATAATAAAAAAAAAAAATAGAGTTTATAATGAAAATTGAACATTGAGCTTGTCTAAGCTCATTTCAAGTTCATTTATTTTTCACTTGCACCAACATCAGTGGTTCTTGAGGTACTTTTTCCAAGAATTTGTGAATGGAGCATTGCGACCTTGTACATTGAGGACCATTATATTAGGCAGTGAACGTTTCCGGAGGATTGTATTTCCTATATAATCTTAAACTATAAATCATTTGAACTGCTGATTTTTATGGCAAGTCAAACGTGGCAATATTAGATCTTTGCCAGTTTGTATTTCCATTTGTATTGTATAATTTTTATTTGTATTCTATAATTTTCCATTTGTATTCTATAATTTTTATTTGCATTGTAATTAAATTGAAATATAAAGATATTATACATACAACTAAGATAGTAAAAACGGATTTTGAGGGACTGTGAGCCTTTACATTTACAACACAGTTAACAGGACGGAGGCGGCATTCCAGGATACTGTGGCGGGTTGGTGGGAGGAAATACAGCCGGGGGAGGTCCACTAGGGGGGAGATGAGGTCTAAACGGTGGGGGCAACCCACGCGTGGGAGGATAGGAAGGAACGCCCGCGTAGGAATACCCACCTGTAATTGAGAGAGGTCTAAAGTAAAATACAGAATATGAAATTGGAATATGAAAACTTCAGTACTTGTTATCCGATCAGGAGAGAGAGAGAGAGAGAGAGAGAGAGAGAGAGAGAGAGAGAGAGAGTTCACCTGGTGGTCCGGGAGGGGGGTGGATATTTGTAATGGAATGTATCTGTGTGGTGCCATTGCTCCGGATTTCCACCACCCGTGTTTGGTTTTGATCTTTCTTTTTACAGTAGACAATGGCGGCTATAACCACAACCAGGGCGACTACGCAGCCTACGACTATTCCGGCGATACTCCGACTGTCCCTGAAAAAATGTCTTGACAACATTAAATTCCAATTAAAAGGATCTGCTCCGATGGCTTAATTTTTAGAATTTATCTTATATAATTAATATGTTTACGGTGTGACCGTTGGGGCGAGCGCAGTTACGTACTATCATAAACCTACACATGTACTGCCTATCATTCAAGAAAAAGAAAGAAAAAAGAAAACAATAAAGAGAAATCACTTCCAAAGCCTCGGGATCGAGATTCCGAACTTCTCGGAAGTTTCCGAGAAAATCGGAAATACCCGAACCGTTAAAGTGACGAAAGTATGACGTCAGATAAAAAGTTCAGTTGACATAGGACGAAACGATATTTTTATGGCATGGACTGGAGATTGCATTAAATTGTTGCTCGTAATTTTTTTTCAAGTAATTTGTTGCTATATAAGCCACCATGTTGCTATGCAGCGCAAAGAATTATTGGGAGTTTGGAATATTTTCACGCGGTGAGATAAAAATTTCTTGGAACAATGTGCAGATTTCAACCCGAATTTCCTCCGTTCGTACACGTTAGTCTATTGAGCTCGCTACGCGAGCGGCGCTTCGCGCCGCCTCGCTGCGCTCGCTATAATGTATGATCTTTTTATTATCAATATTGAAATTACTGAAATGAAATAAATGAAAATGAAATGAAATACTAGTAAACAAATAAAAAAATGAATAATTAAAAAAAAAACAATGATAAAATACCCGGTAATTAAATAAAAGTACATGTAAATAATAGCGAGCGCAGCGAGCGTCGCGAAGCGACGCTCGTAACTGCGAGCTCTAACGACAACGCCTGGGCGAAGAGAAAATTCGGACTACTGCACATTCATTGTTTAGAATTTTTTGCTGCTGTTATTTTGACCCACAATGCATCACTTAGCAAAGTTGCGTTCTCGCGAGAATGACGGCAAATGTTCAACAAAAATTTCACTCGCTTTGATTAAATGGATACATATTGAAGATAAATTGTAAACGTAACTTTTTTCATTAACTTTCAGCACTGATAAGTATTTTCTTGGTATTTGTAACTTACATACGACGTCATGTGACGTCAGAGTCTAGACGCACCAAATGTCACGTTAAAACGTTAAAACAAATAGAAGAGTTTGCGCTCGCTCTAACGGTCGCACCGTCAACATATTAGAAAATAAATAGATAAATACTAAATCATAACATATTCTAAACTATCAAAATTAATGACGTAAAGTTTTGATGAGTTACAATGACTTTGAGTTGTAATAGGAGTACCAGGGGTGTAAAATATATGCTATAGTACTTACAAGTAACCTCTGCTGTCGTTGGAACAGTAATATCTGGAGTAGTTATAGGAATAGTAGCAGTAGGTGGCCTTAGTTTGTGACACTGCAACAAAATCATGTCTATATACTAAACACTTGTTAATACTCCATACATATATACTAAAGAATTCACTGTTAATTCAATTATAAATAAAACATTTTCCAGTTTTTTTTTAAATAAATCATTTTCTATTAGATAAAGCCGATAAAAAAATGAACCTTTAATTAATCTATGGTTAAAATTTTAATTAAACTAAAACTTACAAGAAATAAATATTAACCCAACGACAAGAGCTGCTGCCATCTTATATTTGTCGTTTTCTATTCTGTTACAACTTAACAGCACCGCCAGCAACATGCAATTGAATTCAATGGCATGTATTTTATATTTACTGTTTCTATTTTTTTTAGAAAACAGCAAACAAATAAAACAAACTTAGGTATGTTCGGAGTTTGTAGCCGCCATTGAATATTCGATACAGTAATTTAACTCAATTGATTTTCAAGTCCTACCTATAGATCTAGAACTAGAGCAGAAAAGTTAATTATGTTTATCAAACATATCTTTATAGATTTATTTTTTTTTTCTTATTCTCAGACACAGGTACTTGTGGACAGCCCCCAAGTACCTGTGTTCCCAGATGTTATCTTACGGCGTATTTGCCCGCAAGTTCTTTATTTTTGATATGATATCCTTAAACATGCAGAAAGTTTTTATGTGATGAATTCTTAATTGACAAATCTTCGTTTAAAGAACAGCAATGCCATAATTAATCCTATTGAAATGGAATCATCCTCAATCAGTATTCAAATCTTGACTCCCTTAGGGTAGTGTAAGGCTACATTGGTAAATCAACGTTTTACATAGGGATCTCTTATACCCTTATAAATGTCTTTCTGTATATTTATTACTAATAAAAAATCCAACAAAAGAAATGTTTATTACATCGGTCTAACAATTTCACTGTTAACTGGCCTGCCGGTCCAACATAAGAATTGTTAGACCGAAACGTCACTGCTACGTCACAAGTAATCGTTCAATATCGGCGACACGGAAATAGCCGAAGTTAAGAGCTGCAAGAGTTGTTGCTACCAGCAAGGTAAGGAAGAAGGGAAGAGTATGTTTTGTGATAAATAATTTTTGTAATACATTTGTATAATAAAAATATAATTAATTTTGTTCTTTCTCAGCTATTGTTTTTTTTATTTTCTGATAAAACCATTTTTTCCATATAAAGTAATTGATAATATAGTGTGTATTGATTAAATCTTAAGTGAGCACTGAAGGGTATCACAAAACAGTTATAGACTGGGATTCGGGCAACATATGATTTGTTGGACCTGAAGGTGAAAATGTTGCTCTTGGCCTGCGGCCACGGGAAACATTTTCACCTTCAGGTCCAACAAATCATATGTTGCCCTCATACCCAGTCAATAACTGCATAATATACGATTGGAAAAATCTGCTGATGACGAATAGGAGGGGATATCGATTCAGGTGAGTGCTGTGGTCTATAAGCCTCTTGATGAGTCTACATATTTATAAAACTAGAGTTGAATTTGATGACACGTCACTCTCTACCATTTGAGGTAAAAAATATTTCTTTAGATTAATAAGGATAGTTTCAGATGGCCAGACTTTTGAACATTACAGATGGTTTACAATTTCCTTATATTCTAGACATTTGTTATTCACACCATTTGCAATGAAATTAGGCCAAAAAATTTATATCGATGTAGACAACCATTTTTTTGTTTGTATCATCTGTCGTTAAAAGCAGTATGGCCCTCTGAATTCATATCCTTAATTTATCTTAATCATAAAATTAATTTGAAGCTACATGTACCTATGATGAACAGCGCGAGACCACTAAGTACTGCAACTGATGGCAGATGTCATTCGCTTCCCCTATTAGCGCTGAAATTTCGGATAAAGCATTTCTTGATCTAACATTTTTCTAAAATAACTTTTCTTATAAAGACTGATCAAGATATCTGTATGTAAATTCATTGGCCTTATCGTAAAGCGTAGAGAGAATAAAGTAATCAGAAGACTAAAACAATTACTAGTAGATTTATATTAGTAACATCTTTAAAGGATCTAAAACCAGGCGACACATGCGTTCCTTGCTGGACAGACTCTATCGCAGTCTTATACTATATGTGTGGCTGTTGTTTGTGCATTTATGAATTATCATGCTAGATTTTTTTGCTTGAAATACTGTATATGCTAGTAGCATATAAATAACTGACCACTCTCAGTCTTAGATTTAGTTACATCTTCAAAGAAACTACAAGTCACATCATACCTCAAAAATTTAAGATGTACATCCTATAATTTATTCGAGTGATTTTTTATTTTTTTTTTTTTTGTATTATTTGTAATAGAAGAAAGGTTTTTTTTCTTGCTGACCCCACCCCCTTTTCTTTGTCTTTTTTTTTTCAAAACACCTTTCACATTCTATAAACATAACTCTATATTGTGTGTAGACCCGATGTTATTGTGTACCAAATGATGAAAATTATTTTATATGTACACGTGAAAGTGTTAAATTAATAAAAAAAAAAAACAGTTAACGCTGAACAGTGTGTAGATGTGCATATTGCCAGGTAATTCCGATGTCAGTATTTTCTGGAATTTCGGTACTTTTCAACTTTGATTTTTGGCCATATTTTGAATATAGAAACGAACAGTTTGTTAGTTCAACTCCTCCTAAAACACTGCAGTGTGTATAGAGGTATATATTGCCATGGAGATTCTAATTCCATTATCTATCTAGAAACAACAGTACCCATTTAAATTTAAAACAGACAAAGATTTGATTGTTCTTATATGCAAGGGGTTTTTATGTTCTGATTTTTTTGCTATTCTTTTCAAGAACCACTGAACCAAACAACTTGAAACATATGTGAATCGTTGATTCAAATTTTCGTTTCATTGAAATCAGGCATCCAATGGATAAATAAATTTTAACGCTCTCCGTCGAGTACACTGTAACTCGATACTGTACTACTATGTTATCTTTTTCATTATATAGATTCCTCCACTCAGAGAAACCTATGTCCAATAAATTATCTACTTAATACCCAGTAGAAGAAGATTTTCTCTCAAGTGTTCACATGAGGTATTTGAAAAAAATGTTAATGCTACATATAAATTTTGAAATATTAACATTAATTTTGGTTTCAAATATCTTTTTAAAGGAATAAAAAGTAGTAATTCTTCTATAAAATAAACGCACATGTAAATTATTTTAATTTTTTTGTTTCTTGTTATGATATTTAATCATTTAATCTGAAACATTTTATAAAACTGACATCAAAATATTCTAAACAGAACAAAAGGGACACAACTTTTACGTCCATTTCCTTGTTTGGAAAATTGAATCAAGGTACGGAAAGTACTGAGAGTGCTAATTTCATTTCCAAGTTCATTATAGGAATCAGTTCTGACGTTAATCTGACGTGATTATTCAATTCAGCAAGAAGTAAGGAAGATATAATATAGAAAAGACAATTATTTAATTCAGGTGATAATTTACGTCGCGACAAAATGTATTGCAGAACTTAACTAGCTGGTTTTACGATATA